ACACACACACACATACATACATGCACACACACACATATATATACACACACACACTCCTCCTCTTTCTCCCTCCCCTTCTTTCTTCCTCGTTTTGCCCATTTCTTTGCAATCGGAGTTTATTCTGCAAACGCGTTCGTTACACAACTGCCCCCCCCCCGCACACACTTCCAGCACACACACCCGCACACACAGACACCCCTTTCCTCTCCCCCAACAACAAACAAATCAGGAGACACAAGAAAATGCACAGAGACGGTTAGACACAAGGCCAGAAACTTACCTGCTCCACAACCAGCTGCCAAAGTAAAGGTTCACTTAAGCTCCCCCCCAAAAAAATCAATTGTCCTTCCTTTTTAAAGGTTTGCTCGCTCCTTCCAAAAAAAAAAAAAAAGAGGGAGAGAAAAGAAAGAAAAAAAAAAACCTTCTGGTTCCCAACTCGGAGCAGTCACTCTTTACAATTTATTTTGTCGTACATCATTTGATCACCATGAATTAGCAACAGCAAGAAAATGTACGAGAGAGAGAGAAGGAGAGAGAGAGAAAGAGAGAGAGAGAGAGAGCGCAGAGCTTTCTGCAAGAGAAGAAGAAGAAAAAATGTACGTGTGACAAATTATGCTACCAAGAAACAACACATCATTATCCTTGGGCCTGGGGCTCAGTGAGTCGTAACGAGAGTAATAGGAAATCCACGGTTGGGGAGAGAAACGGTCGTGCATGGCCAGTGGAGAGAGACCATACAGGGGGATGGATGCTGGAGAGACTCGCAAAATTATGGCTCAAGGCTATTGTAAAAATTGTCGAGCGTAAATGACTGCGATTTCAAACATCTTTGGAAGAAAGAAGGGGAAAAAGCGAGCCCCCCCCCCCCCTCCCTCCCGCCCCCCCCCCTCCTCTCTGCCTCCCTCCCTCTCGCTCTCCCTCTCTCTTCTCTCTCTCTATAAAGAACCGTCAAGTTTTAGTGCGCATTGCTAATTAGTCAATTTCTCTCTGCCTTCACAGGCTGGCGACTTTGCTGCTGAGCTGAAACTGCTAATTTCTGTGACCAGCTTTTTTCTTAGCTGTGATCTGGATGAATGAGTAGCTGTCTCACAGAGATGACAAAAATAAACTCTAATCCCCCCAAAAATTTCCACTACATCTTTCTCATGCATAGATTTATGATCTTCAAGCGCCCTGTGCAATATGCAAACTTTTTGTGTGTGAGTGTGTGTGTGTGTTGCTGGGGGGGTGTGTAAATCTGTTGTATTCAGGTTGCATGGTATTTGTTTTGTGTCTCTGCTCTCCCCCTGCACCCCGGATGTGATGGAAATAATGTCTGATTTCAGTACCCGGTATATTGTCCCCCAACCCCCTACCCCCCTTGTATTTATATTATTGCTTTGACAGGATACATCCTCCTTCCTTGCAAGTATGAGGAGGCTGGAGGGGTGGAGGGGAGAGAAAAAAAGTGAGGCTACTAAATGGTGTTAGTGGTAAAACATTCCCTTTACATTTGTTCCCCTGCACTGTTCAAGATTTATGATCTTGTTTGAAGGCATATTTTCTCTATCGTTTTGTCTGGTTAGACAACCGTCTCTGAACTTCACTGTCAGCTCTTCAACAGATAAGGGTTCAGAAGTCACATTTTTTTTTTTTTATTGGAAGATTAGCATATTGTCAGATTTGTCTTTCGGTTTCGAGACTTTGCAATGCAGAAGCCTGAATCAAATGGCAGGAAAGCAGCTGCTATTTCACAAATGTAACCTTTCAACTTTCTGCCAGAGCTGATACCCTAGAAACATGCACAGCGTAGCCCATGGGCTGGGGCTTTGTTTTGGTTTTTGCTCCTTTATAGTTGTAAGAAGCAGAGGATATTCTCATTGTAGGCATTTTGGGCTTTTTCTTTCCACCGAGGGGCATTTCGGTAGAGGACATGTTCTCCACACTTTATCTCATGATATATTGCACCCTCACATTTATAGCTTTGTTCTTCTGTTGTCAAACTTCCAATTGTCAAAAAAAAAAAAAAAGAAAAAGAAAAAGAAAAAAGGTGGAATGTGTGCCCTTGAATGAAATGCACATGAAAGGAAACTGGAGTGAGCACTTACAGAAAGTTTTACCTGGTGTGAAGGCCATGACCCCCATCCCCTTTCCCAGGTAATACTCAGGCTCCCGTTAATTAAAATACACACCAGGAGTGGGACTTTGAATGCCAGGTCTCATGCTCTTTCTCTTTGACTTGGCCAAGGATGCCAGTGCATTTACAGCGCTGGAGTCAGATTGCTCAGGAATGCAAAGGACTGGAACTGAAAGGCATCAAGGCAGTTTTTGCTTTTATTTATTTTCTGGTGACCTTAGAAAAGAAATTCTGCCATACCTTTCTGTTTTTCCTCACCAGATAGCTCCCTTCCTCCTCCCTTGGACGTCAATTATTTCTGCAAGAGATTTCCAAGAGAGATTAGGCAGCTGGTGTTTTAGGGCACGATATTCTTCCCAAAAGAATGACACCATCATAGGCTGCTTATAACACAGTTTTTGTTGTTTTGCTCCCGTTGTGCCTCCCCTTCCTCTCAGCTGTACCCTGTTGGCCACCCGAATTTTGACCCTGTTCAGGTGAAGAGGAACATGAGTTACAAGATGCCTCCATTTCGATAGTAGCTGGTGTCTTCAGTGATGCGAGTTGTCTCCCAATTGTAGTAGATGGGAAGAACAATTTTTATATCATGCTTGTGCTGCTGAACTTTACTGCTGTAATGGCTGTAAATAATCCCCATGGGGTTTTGTATCAGTTTTCACTGACTGATGTGTCGCATACTCTTATACCATTGTAAGCTGCCAAAATATGTCTGTGCCAATGTGTAGCAACTTTCTGGGACTAGCATACTGGTATGTTCTGCTCATTAGTGAAAGGACCTGTTTAATTTTTATTTAACTTTGCTCCACTAACTCAAGTTAAAATAAAGTTCAGTCTTATTGTGGTCACTTATGAATTACATTGGATAAATATTTCCAAAAGTCCTGGGTATGCTATTTTCTGAATGGGCTTGAGCACTTTTGAAGGAAGACTTCAAAATTTTACACATTATATCTGCAAAATTAAAGTTCTTCTCTTATAGGCAGCAGCTGTCAGCAGAAAATACCGTGTTTTTCCTTTCT